GGCCATTTTACGTAATACTGCAATAAACTTTCTGGGTATTTGCACACATCATGAAAAAAAACCCCTCTCTGGAGAATAACTCTGTCTCTATCTTTTAAGAGATAGTAGTTACATAGGAATAGCTATGGTGGGTAGATTACTGAGTGCAGTTAAACTGTAGATTTACCTGAGGTGAAATCATGTACATTCAATGGAAATAATTAGCCACTGTTAATTAGGATGAATGTCATACATCTCATCCTTAAATAACCTTCTAAATATCTAAATTGTGCCTGTTTCTCTCAGCTCCCTCTGAGAGGGATTCCAGTGTAAGTCACATATAGTATGTATATAAATCATGCCTATCCTATGTGTATGTAGCAAGAGGTTAAGCAGATCTCCTCTCTTCTTTTCAGCTAACATTTTGCCATGGTAAAGAGTGCCCATTTCATTCTTACATGTTTTCTTATTTTGGTTATTTTTCAAGTCACCTAATCCTTTGCTTTTCATTTTAGTAATTTCTCAAATACTCACCCAAGCCTCTTAAAAAGCTAACCAGTGCCCCCAGCTATCCTTTATCTAGTAGCTTAACAACCCTTCAAACAATGCCAGTGAGGGCATACTTGCAGTGTGCACTGCAGGGCAACATAGATACTGAGCTATTCCTGAACACAATTGCTGCTGCCTTGAGCACTCAATTAGATGGCATCCTTGCATCGGGATATCCTAGGAGTAGAGTTCAGTGGGACACAGCATCCTTTTTATAAACAGGCATTGCTTTGGCCCTTTCTTAGGTTTTCATTTCTTCTACTGTTCTATTTTCTAAAGCTTATTTATCATGGTTATGCCAGACTACCTTGGAAAGCTCTTTTTTCCATAGTCTAGCTAAAACCCAAGAGTAGCAATGTCCCTGCTCTTTCTTCCCCCTCAGAGCCCTAGGTGTTGGCATCATTTTGCCTGCATGATGGGAAAATAGACATAATGTTTGATGTCCAAAAAAAATAGCTTACTTAGTCTTTGCTTCGCAAATAAATCTTATTTGCTCTGTTTAATATTTACCAGTGGACATTAACTTAATACTACCTGGCAAAATGAAGAATAGGGAAGAAGCACTGTGAAAGAGAAGTCCAGCACTGTAAGTACTGTACAATACCTTCTTAGAAGTCTTTGAATTTATGTTGTCTGTGATCTCTGCCGTTTAGTGCACAATATTGAATTCTGAGATTAATTTAGTTTTTACAGTAATTTGAAATTATTTTAGCTCTGGAAACATGTTCTAAATGTTGGAAGCAGGATTCAACTTCTAGCTATAGTGGCAGGATGATTGGGAATAAGGTTCAAAATGAGTACTCAACAGTCAATACCAAGATGAAGACTAAAACCTTGTCTCTGCTGGCAGAGGAGGAAATTTAGTTGTAACCTCAGTGTCCTGAGTGCTCCAGGCTGATGTAGGGCTAATAAGAGTAGCATCCTTGTACCTCCAGTGTGCTTAAAGACCAGGCTACTTGCAGCCACGTGTTCTGGAAGAGAAATTAGTGTCTCCCAAAGCAGATTTGGGGAATTATGAAAAGAGTACTTACTAGACCAAACCGTATTACTTTAATTTAGAAAGCTTTTTTTTTCAGTCAATGTTTTTATCCAGTATGTTAGATTGCTGAACACACTTCCCATACTAAGCACTCCCACAGCTTATATCTCCAGTGTTTCATACAGGGCAGACAGAAAAGGGGAAACCCAGAATTAACAACTTCCCATGCAAAAACTGATATAAGACCTAAGCCTGACACTAGACACACATCCTGAGGCAGTCCCTGGGGCAGAATCCTATGCTCCAGAATAAGTATATAGCTGCTATGAACAACATTCAGATCATCTCTGTTATCCTGCAGGCCTGCTTCATGGTTTTGAGTTTCTGTCATTTGAGATAATTATGTGAGCCAACCTATGGAGAATATTCTTCTCCAGTATATTTCATGGTTCTCCCCCTGAAAAGGACAGAAGAGAGACTGTGTGATTGTGTAGAATTTGCTTATGTCTGTTAAAGGAAGAGAAAAGGTCATTGAATTGTGCATACATAGCAAAGCAGATCCCACTATAGCTTTTCCTAAGCTCTTGAATCTTGGGTTTGTGACCTTATGGAGTGTTATTGTGCAATAGAGAGAGTCAATAAACTTTCTTGATTTATCCTCAATTTGCTGAAACTTCTATGGTAATGTTTTAAAAATATAGTTCTTCAATTCAGAGCTGTTACACAGGAGGCAGAAAGATATAAACAGTTCAAAGGGTGAGCATTTAGGTGGATTTTATTCACAGCTATAGCTGACATTATCTCTGTATCACTGCAGTGCTTAAAAACCCAAGTCATAACAAGACCATGGGTACTACAGAAACATATCAGCAAAAATAAGTCTCTCTGCCAAAATACTTACCAGATAGATGGGGACCAATAGGTGAGTTCATCCATGCACTCAAAGGTACTTCGGAGTGCACTGAGGCCATGCTGGTCAGAGGCAAAAACTATTTTTGGCATTATACCTCACAGAAACCTAAACAACATTGATTCTTCCCTGGTGATACCACATTAATACCTTCTTTCCTTTGCTCATTGGTCAGAAACTGGGAGAACTGACTAGAAATAGAGTATCCAGAAGGCCAAGTAGAAGAGTATTTTTAAATAGAGAAGTAATCCTAAAGACTGACATCTGAAAATCAGTATCAGGAATACATAAATATTTTTATGCAGGAAAGACAAAATTCTCTAGATCTAAATGTTGCTCTATTCTTTCTTAACAGAACTGTGCAGAAGGAAATGAAGTCTGCATTGTATTTGTGTTTGTTGTTTCTTGGACTTCAAGTCCAGGGTCAGCATAGTTCCAACCTCAATGTTGAACAGCAGGAACAAAAAATATCCCATTCCCCAGAAGACCATTCCCAGGCAGAAAACTCAGCTCATGTCAAAATAGCCCCTGGCAATGCTGACTTTGCATTTAGGTTTTACAAGCAGGTCAGAGAGGAGGTGGGCAACAAGAACATCTTCTTCTCTCCTCTGAGCATCTCCACTGCCTTTGCAATGCTCTCCCTGGGTGCCAGATCAAACACGCTCCGTCAGATGCACAAAGGCCTCACCTACAACCTGACAGAGATGGAGGAGCAGGAGATCCATGCAGGATTTCAGCGTGTCCTTCAGCTGCTGAACGACCCACACCGAGAAGTTCAGCTGAACATGGGCAATGCTCTGTTCATAGATGACCGACTGAAACTATTCCAAAAATTTTTGGATGATGTTAAAAATTTTTATTATTCTGAAGCTATTTCGAGTAACTTCCAGGATCTTCCAGAGGCTACAAAGGAAATCAATAAGCACATAGAAACAAAAACTCGTGGGAAAATTGTTGATTTACTCAAGAGTCTTGATCCAGACACCGTGATGGTTCTGGTTAACTACATTTTCTTTAAAGGTGAGTGACAAATGTGGGTAGAAGCTATACACATAAGCTCTGGAAGTCTTGTCCAGATCTAAGAAACATAATTTTTTTCACATTGTGAACCTATGCTATCATCTATTTTAAAATATGTCTTTCAACTTTTAAATTATGTAAGGAACTACTTGAAAGCTAGGTATGAAGAATCATTTTCTATATGAGTTAAAAAATAAAAGAACTCATAGAAGTACTGATCAATGTCGTAACAGTTTTAAGCCAGGTTCAGAGCTGAAAATATTCAGAAAGGATGAGCTTGGGAACTTAGGATCATTTGTTAAAAGGCACAGGTGTTTGGTGGTGCAGGACATGGTCAAACACAGATAACTCTCGTATGAAAGGAATGTCTCTAGAGCCTTTATAGCAGGAGTGCGTGGAAATTTTACCATTGCTTTAGCAGGCAAAGGCTCAGGTCTTTTTCATGGCAACACTCAGCCTATATTTTTCTTGTGTGATTTTTATTAGAACCATTTAAATTATGTAAAACTCCTTTCCATGGCCGGGGAACAAGCATCCTTAAACTAAGATAGGCTTGGTTTTGCCTCTACAGTTCAAACACAGTATTTTAAGTATCAACTAATATGACATGCCTTTATTTATCTCTTTGTCAGTTGTTTGGTTTTTTGGTTTTGGTTCTTTTTTTTTTTAATTCTGTACTTTTTCTTTTTTCAAAAGGCTACTGGGAAAAACCTTTCAACAATTTGGCGACCAGAGATGATGATTTCTTGTTGGATTCCAAGAATTCTGTTAAGATCAAAATGATGCATCAAAACAAACCCTTTAACATCCATAGAGATGAGAAGTTGTCTTGCTGGGTAGTAGAAATCCCATACAAAGGAAATGCTACTTCATTGTTTGTTCTACCTGATGAAGGGACAATGAAGAAGGTGGAGGATGCTCTACTAAAAGAAACAGTGTCTAACTGGATGCAATCACTTGAAAAAAGGTAATATTTTAACTATTGTTTTGTTTAAATATCAAACAAGCCATAACTACTCATCCGGGTAAGGTAAAGCTTAGGATGCCACAATGACTTGCTAAGCAAAGCTCTGAGGAACAAGCATTGCATAGTTTCTTTAACTCAGACGAGGTATCGGGTTATTTTGTACCTAAGGGGGACCCTCTACTCAGCTCCCCTATTCACAGCAGTGGGAGTGCTACCAGCTGTGACAATACTGCACACGGGTACCTTACCCTCAGGAGCTTGCCTTGAGTATGAAGAATCCAATTCAAAGGAAAATACAATTTATTTTTCTCCAGTTTGTGTGATACCTTCCAGCCAGTCACTTTCATAAGCCAGCATAGTGCCCCTGCACCACTGGTGAGACAGGTACCTCAATTTCAGTCTAGCATGGGATTTATTCTTGCCTTACAAAGCCAAGCCTCAGCTTCACAGGTATTTGGGTGGATGTATGCCTGCCATAGCTATTGCACCAAGGGATCTTGCAATAATAAAGCCATATTTTTTTTATTGTTTTAAAAGAAAAATCTACCTGGACCTTCCAAAATTCTCCGTCTCTAGCTGCTATGATGTTAAGAGCCTGTTTGAGAAAATGGGTGTGACAGAGGTGTTCAGTGACCAGTCTGATCTCTCCGGCGTGGCAGAAAATAGTCTTCTGAAGGTTTCCAAAGTAAGTATGCAAACAGAAATGGTAATTAAGTTTGTCTGCCTTACTTACATGCAGGTTTTATCTCTGTAAATAGGTTGAACCCACTTCTGGAGTGTAGTCATGGCTCACTGATGGTAATAAAGGAGAAGGTTAGGGATTAAATGGCTGTTGTTCCTACAGTTTAATTTTAAATCATTTCCTCGTCAGAGGAAATTTTAGATGCATTACGAACAATGGAGAAAAAACATGGAGGACTGAGCAAAGGCAATGAAATAAGATCACATTAATTCAGAAACATGAATTTGCTATACCTGCTATAGAAAGCCCTGTAAAGTCATATCAGTGGGATGCGTTACAGAAAGACACTTTATAAAGCTTGTCACTATTGTGTCTTTACAGAAAGAATGTTTTTTGCATACACAGAAATTGAAGTAAAATAAAAACTTTCTTCTTCTGTGTTAATGTTAAGGACAAAATCTTACTCTGAGAAAAAAAACAGAAAAATAAATGTTCTTTATGCTGCTCAGTCTCTACAAACATCCAAGTTCAGATCTGGAAGAGTGTTGAAGAAAACTCTCCCTGAACTCAGGGCAAACTTTTCTTGTCTTTGAAAGGCTTGACAAGAGTATCATTTTCACACCAGTTCTACATTCATTCTGTGTTTCCTTTAAAAACTACCTTTGACTGTTAAAGCAAGCAAATTTGTCCCTAGCTGCTTCTTGCTCTTCTGTACCTAGACTTTAATCTTTTTTTCCCTTGCAGGCAATTCACAAGGCTATGGTGGATGTTAGTGAGAATGGCACAGAGGCTGCTGCAGTGACCGTGATAGAAGTGGTACCACTGTCAGCAGCGTTTCCTCCTCCACCTCATATCGTATTCAACAGACCATTCCTGATGATTACTGTTGACAAAATCACCCATAGCATCCTCTTCATGGGGAAAATTGTGAACCCAGCTGCCAAAGAAGACTAGGCCGGAGCACTTGTACTCCCCAGTGCAGAGAAGAGAGCCTGTGCACATACCAGAGACGACTTCACAAACAGAGACTAGAATACATCCCTAATTAACAGACAAATAAAAAAAATATCAAATTAAGTTATTCTTCCCTTACAGACACCTGGGGACAAGCATGGGTGGTCCATGTTTACAAAATGTCCCAAGCCAAATAGGCAGCCTTGGGTTCTTCAACAGACAAACATTTCTCTACTTCACTCGCCCATCATTGGTGCCACAGTTCCTTGCATGCAGATAAACCTTCCTACTCCTAGCTGAGAATCTCCCTACTTCTCCCATGTCCTGCATGCACATCCCCCTTATCCGGCATGGGGTCCTCCCCAGGCTGCAGGTGGGTCTCTGCTCCACCATGACCCTCCATGGCTGCAGGGACACAGCTGGCGTCACCATGGTCTGCAGCACGAGCTGCCAGGGAATCTGCTCTGTCACCTGGAGCCCCTCCTGTCCTCCATCACTGATCTACAGGGCTGTGGGGCTGCTTCTCTCACATGTTTTGTTACTCCTCCCTCTCACAGAAGTGCTGAAGTTTCCTAGCTATTTTTAAATACTCTTTCCAAAGATGCCACCATCTTCTCTGTGGGCTCAGTTGTGTCCTGTGGTGGGTCTGTTGGAGCCTGCTGGAACCATCTGTGTCCAGCATGGGGGAGCTCCATCCTTCCCTCACAGAGGCCGCTCTGCAGCCTCTGCTTGCCAACACCTCTGCATGGACAGCTGATACACAGAAACGGGATCCTAAGATAACAAGTTCACTAAGTGTAATGACATTTAATGGATGGGTAGAACACTTTGATCATGCAGTGCCCTGCCGTTAGGCTCCCTTCACAGTGTCATCTCAGCATCAAGAGCTGGTGGGCCTCCACACACTTTGCATACACAGCGTGAGCGAAGAGACAACACCTCCACCCACATTTCCAGTCTCAGCTCTGCTTTCTCCTGAAGAGGGACAGGCTCTAACTAAGCTGGGTCAGAAATGTTAAATGCTTCTGCTGTTGTGACTTGACTTGGGAAAGCCCTGACAGGTCGTATGGATGGGAGAAAACTGGAGTGTGCATATTTGCAGTGAGAGATAATAGGGCCTTTCATGTGGGCAAGCACAGACATTTTCACTGACCTAAGGGCAAAAAGCTCCAACCTCTAGTCAACTTATTCACACAGACCTAAAGATTTACTTAACACAAAATATTTTCTCTATCATCATCCCCTTGACTTCAGATTTTTAAAGACACAAAGCCAGCAATGATTTAAAAATGCCTTATGGAAAAACCTTAGTCAGCTATATCTGTCTAACTAATTTTCTCTCTCAGGAAAATAAAAGCAATTGTTTCAGCAGTGTTTGAAGGGGCAAACCTCTGCTGCTGGAGCCAAGCCAAGGATTTTAGCTCTGCACAGGGCTGCCAAACTACGAGTCTTTTGATCTGCAGTTACTAATACAGCTTGCATGGTTATTGCTCCCCTGCTTTGGGAGTGATGGGGTTTAGAGTGATGGGGTTTAGGTGAGCAGTTAACTGTGCACTACCTGGGACATGTTAGAGGGAAGGCAAGAATGACAGTAAACAGGAAACTCTTTGTATTACCTCATTTCTTCTCTCCCCCTCTGCCCACTTCTGGAAAACGAAAACCCCAGTATTTTTGTTTAGTTGTAAATATTAGATGCCTGAAAAAGAAACCTTTGTAAAAAATGAATTTTTCTCTTCTTATCAGAACTGTGAGATTTTATTATGGAAAACAGTGCAAGTTCACTTGGTGCCCTATGGGTTAAGAGTAGTTATTTGAGGGTGGAAAAATTATTTTAGTTGAGAGGATAGTTCCCAGAAATGCTTTTGTAACTTTCCTACAGCTGTAAGCAAGAGCAACCACTCAAAAAAGTTTTAAAAGGCAGGCCAGTAATTTCTCAAATAAGCAGTTAAGTTCAAAGACTGTTGAAGATTTATATGGGTTTTGGAAAGGAGCTTAAAGTGTTGGAAGAGAACAGGATTGTTGAGCTGATTTGCTCAGGGATTTTAGCTCCATGGTGAAACTAGGGGGAGTATAGCAAGAACAAGAAGATCTAATAGAAAAAGTGAAAACTTTACAGATGTTTGGAAAGCCTGCCATAAAACTAAAGACAATGCAGTGGCCCAGCTGTAGATACCCTGAACCACTCTGGCTGAAACTCAAATTCCACCAAGAGTAAAACATACCATCCTAAGCCAAGATAACACCATTGAAGTGCAGAGCCTTCACAATTTTGGGAGCAACATGGGAAGAAAAGGAGTGGGAGAGTAAAATGTCTTTGAAGAGGACAAGGAGTCCTTGGCCACACTTCAACATCCTGATGCTCTTTGCCCTTAAGACATACTGAAACAAGGGAGGGAAAACTTGGAACCAGCACATGGAATGGTCTGCTGATGTTTGGTGTCCTTGTGTTATCAGGCGATAACTAACCTCACCTCATCTTACACCAGCACAGTACCTGCAGGTAATTAGCTAAAAACCAAGGGTATGGATTTTGATCCTTGATGACTTCCCTTGTTAACTGAAACAATAACATCTCTCCCTACCACACAGGAATATTGGCCATGCAAAGAGTCTATAAACACAATGGAGGGTAAAACTAGACTGCACTGACTTCAGGATGTTTTATCTCCATTTTGCATAAATTTTAACAGACGAGTCTCTCTGTGCCTTCATTAATCACCTTGACACCTTCTTGTGTGAAGGCCCTGTCTGAGAAAACAGGCATTACTGAAGTGCTCAGAAAGAGCAATGCTGATGCCAGAGTCACAGGCAGCCTGACCCCTCAATGCCTACAGTCACTCATAAGTGGGGATGGAGATTATCTGAGCAGTGGTAATGTTTTTTATTTCCAAACAATCTGACCTGGCATCCAGAAAATTAAGATTTATGAGCAGCAATAGTTGTAAGCGGCAAACTGGCATATTTGAAAAGTAACATATTGCATTTCAAAGTTACTGTGAACTCTCTTGATTTCTCTTAAGTGCATATATTGAAATAATAACCAGAAATGACCACCAAATCAGGAACGGTCAGGAAAAAAAAGATATTTGCCCTTGGCTAACATAAAAATATTTTTGTATATTAAAACATTGGTATATTAACATTTTTGTATATTAAAAATGTACTGAAGCAGCTTGTTACATTGGGGTATTTTTCTGTTCTAGGTCTTTTCAAGTCCCCCTTTTCTATAGGGTTACAATGCCTCTCAGTTTACTAAGGTATCACCTGTACAACTGCTTTGCAACGAAGGGCAGGCATCTTGGCATCTAAGGTCCACATGTGTTAAAGGAATTTCATAAGATTCTGAAGAAGGCCAGTGCACTCAACTTCCTTGCTTGGAAAACCAGACATTGGGAGCCCACTTGGCATGAGTTATTTCCAGCAACACCTGGAGCTCCTTGGTGGTTGAGAATTCAAACGAAGAATTTCTCCTGAGTCCTTGGGAAAACTGCTGGCTTAGCCAATAGCTATTATATGCACAGTCAAGTGGATTTTCTAGCCAGCCATATTTCTTTAAAGATATGGCAGTCTAGGCAATATTGAGGCAACTTGTAACAAAGGGGCACCATCAGGTTTTTAGTGTACCTAGTCTATCACCATCTCTGCTAACATTTTCCATATAATTTGTTAGTCTGCATATGTAGAACTGTGAGTCTTTAGGTGAGTACATCACATTTACATCAAAATTTTGCATGCCTACATGCTGTGTGAAAGTCAAGGGGAGCTGCAGATACGTATTGATTGCCTGTAGTGCAGATGGGATTGATTTTAGCATTTAAATATGGCACTGAAAAAGGAACCAGAAATCCACAACTTCTGCCTAATTTAGGCATATAGCCATTCTTCCCATACCTTTGCAGGGTCTGTGAGATTCACTGCATGCACAGTGCCTTTGCACAGCACTCTGTTGAACTCTCATTCAAGAACAAAGTGCCCCAAACTGAGCACGCACTGTTCTGTTCTGCGAGGGACAGTCTGCAACCCTGGACATTCACCTTAAGACTTAAAAAAAATCAACAGCCAAAGCGTTGTTACTGTTCAGAAACTGGTCAAGCTGATGCAGCAGTTTACATGGAAGAAACAGATCCTTCCCCAAAATAGCAGATGGCACTAGACCAAGCTTGAGTTGCTGGTTCCCCCAATGTCCCTGCTCCCCCATCCACAGCCCTGCTGAGGTCCACATGTGCACATGGATGGGAAAGGAGGAAAGAAGGATCAGGATTCGTTCTCCCTGGCAGAATCAGTTTTGAGCAATTTATATTCCCATCTTGCAGGCTACTTGGTTTAAAGTTTTTTGGTAGTCCATAAGGGTTGTAGGCAGGGGGTGAGTTGTGTGAAAGTCCTCTCAATTACATCAACAATTCTAAATTAAAAAAAAAATGTCAGAAATAAAACCTTCAAATGCCTGTCACTTTTACATCTAGTTCCTTATCTCTTGCACTCCCTGTGCTATTACAGAGGGAAAATAAATTAGATATAAGCTAAACATGAGCCAGGTCTCTGGTTCAGCCATTGAACCACATATTGTAAGGTTCAGGGGAAGAATTCTCAGTTGCACCAGGGAAATAAGGGGGCTTATTCAATTCTATATGTTTCCAAAAATAAAAACAGTTTGATCTGGAACTGATCTGAAACACATGCAAGGGCCTCAGCATAACAACAGAAACAACTTAGAACAATTTAGAAAACCAGCTTTCCTAAAACTACAGATTTAAAGAAAATCAGTTTCCATTCATTTCACATTTGCCTTTCACCAGGAATATTACTAGCTAATAAAACTTTCAGAGCACCAGTAATTATGGGTACTGCTTGGGGAATCTAGCCATCTGTTTACAGGGTAGATATGCCATGGCAGAAATAAGATTTATGTGGTCAAAAAATTTTAAATAACTACCTAAACAGTAATTAATAGGATATTTCTTAATTATTTCTCTTTTGCTTCTTTTAACTTCATTTTCCAC